TTAAAAATAATTAGATAGTGGGGAAAAAAGTGAGCAAATTATAAGGTTGCTAATGGACCACTGCTTCTACACTGGCATCCTTTGTCATTTAATAGTGTGTTCTCTAGACAGCTGGCATAGTAATCAAGATCTAATGTGAAAAAAGAGAGAATTTAATGCATGAATCAAAAAACACTTGATGGGAAATGAGATTGCCTAGAATTTCTTTCAGTGGCTTTTTTTTTTTTTTTTTTTTTTACAGCTGCATGATAATCTTTTCATTTTCATCAGAAATTGCACCAGAAAATCATAAAAGAATTTTTAAGTACTGAAAATAGCCTTTTTTGTACTGTTTTATACTAATTCTGTCCTATTTGCTTCCTCATTTTGCTCCTGGAGAATAGTAATTTGAGTGATTTAACTATGTAATCTTTTGTGATGATTAAGTGAATTGTATCATCTGGCCTAGACTAATACCACACCTTTAAAATATTCTCACCATATTCTCTTCCAGTTATGAAAATGTAGTTAAATGTTTGTTTACTTTGAGATTTTCATTAAGTACATGACATTGTAGAGATAGAGAGACAGAATCATGAGTAGCTGACCATACTATTTCAAAAAAACTAACAACTTGAAATTCAGGGTTCTTTATAGAATGGCTCTTGATAGTACTTTAAATGTTGAAGAAGAAAAAAGTCTTTAAATCAGGTCTTACATTTTACATGTTAAAATCAATTAAAAATTATATTATAAGCCCCGGCTGGGTGGTTCAGTTGGTTGGAGTGTCATCCCATACACTAAAAGTGTTGTGGTTTTGATTCCCAGTCAGGGCACATACCCAGTGGGTGTTTCTCTCTCACATCATTGACACACACTATCTATCTATCTATCTATCTATCTATCTATCTATCTATCTATCTATCATCTATCTATCTATCTATCTATCTATCTATCTATCTATCTATCTATCTCTCCCTCCTCCCTCTCCAGAAAGAATCAGTAAACATATTCTCAGGGGAGGATTAAAAACATTTTTTCTAGGAAAAAAATTCTACAAGCAAAACTAGGATCAATTTTAAAACACAATAAATGGCAGGTTTAGCCAGTCACAAAAAAGTACTATTGATCTTTCAGCAGTTTCAATTCCATTCTTTTTTAGATTTTTTTTGCTCTTTTATTTCCAAAATTTTGCTTCTGAGAGAATAGGTACTTCCCTAATACAGCACTTCTGACTTACCTGTAACTTCCACCTTGATTAAAAAACAACAAAAAAACAAAACAAAACAGCTACCTGGCTTTAGTCCTCGCCTAACTGCAAACTCTACAGAAGTAACAGATGACTCTCTCCCTTAATTTCAAGTTCTGTGTCCACCAAAATATATTTATGGTTGAGCAATTTTTTGTTGTTGTTGTTGTTGTTTTTTAATCCTCATCCGAGGACATTTTTCCATTTTTTGTTCAGATTGAGTGGGAGGGAGAGAGAGAGAGAGAGAGAGAGAGAGAAACATCGATGTGAAGGGACACATCGAGTGGCTGCCACCCGCACGACCCAACCAGGGCCGGGGACAAACTGCAACCGAGGTACGTGCCCTTAGCGGGAACTGAACCCGGGTCTCTCTGGACCGCAGGCCGATGATCTAACCACTGAGCCAAACCAGCCAGGGCTGGTTGAGCAATTTTAAAGATTTCTACTACTCTGAGAAGCAAATTGTTTAAAGTATGGAAACAATTAATATCTAGATTGTAAAATTTCATAGAAAGCCTTTTCCAGCTGTATCTATTTTGTGGGTGTGCACCTGAAAGATGAGTGTCTACATACAGTTACTATGGCCACCATGTAGAGTGACCTCTAGAATTTTCACTGATTAATAATTCCACTTGTCCGGCCTGTGTATCTCAGTGGTTGAGCGTCGACCCATGCACCAAGTGGTCACCAGTTTGATTCCCAGTCAGGACACATGCCCAGGTTGTGGGCCAAATCCCCAGTGGGGGGTATGCAAGAGGCAGCCAGTCGATGTTCTCTCTCATCAATGTTTCTATCTCTCTCTCCCTCTCCTTTCCTTTCTCTCTCAAACCAATACAAGAAAAAGAAATTTCACTTACTTGTTTAGTTTCCAATTAGCAAGGCTAATTTTCTTGGGAAATAATCAGACACATTGACAGTGTTTAACTTTCGAACTTTCCCTAATATAGAAACTCTGTAAGTAAAAGAAGACATTCCTTAATCAGCTGTATCACTTCACACCTTTCTATTTTAGGAATCCTCAAAACAGTTTTTGTTTACATCTTATAAAATAATTAACCATGAATGAACGTGTTTGTGGGAAAGCAGAACTGTGTACAAAGTTATGAGCAAGTGAGAATAGAAATATAAGGCAAGTCATTAAAGAATGATTTCAGTAATGATCTTGTTGATGAACATTATAACACTTATTCTGAGGGTACCAGTACTAATACCAGCTGTGAAAGGAAATTCAATGACAGTTTTTCCTCCCTTCATTTCATTTAGTTGCTGATTATAATGAATTGAAATGCCTATTATTTGAAATCTCTAAATAAAAAAAAAAAAATAGATGATAGCTTCCTCTGTCTAGGAACCATTCTTTTACAGAAAAATAAATTTACCTTTGCATTACAACTGTGGTAAAATTTCCCTGGATACTTAAACTCTAATTCTCTATGTATTCATATATGAGTTCCTGGATCAACCATGGTTTCCTTCTAATTATCCCCATGTTCATACAGAGCACACCTGTGTGTCTTTCTATGAAAGGGAATGGATTCGGAAAAATCTTTGGAGGGCTCATAAATATTTTAGTTCTGCTTTGCATGTCTGTCACCAAGGGGCTGAAAACTTCTACTAGTATTTATGCAAATTATCTTCATGATATGACTGTGCAGAAAGAACAGAGAGAAACATTGCTGCCCTGTTTTCCTAAGCAGAGGAAGTAGTTCACTTCTCCTACCTCAGAATAGAGAGCTTTTTAGTATACTGGTTTATCTGAATTAATTTTTTTTATTTCTCATTTTAAGAATACTGAATTTTGATCAGAAAATGAATATATGTTCATTATAGAAAACATTGGAAACTAAAATGAGAATTTTGGGATAATCCTACCCCTCAGTGATAACCATTCTTAAAATGGTGGTGGGGGAATGGTTTTGCCAGTGTTTTCTCTTTGCATATATACACGTGTGTGTGTGTGTGTGTGCATGCATTCCAAATATATGCCTTTTTATGAAATTGGAAACATACTGTATTTATAGCTTTATATCATATCATGTACTTGAAAATTATCTCTTGTCTCTTATTACAAGGAGTAATACGTGTTCATTTTAAAAATATTTAACTATACCCTGGCCGGTTTTGGTCAGTGGTTAGAGCATCAGCCTGTAGACCAAAGAGTCACAGGTTTGATACCAGTCAAGGGCATGTACTTCGATTGTGGTTCAGTCCCTGGCCCTGGTTAAGGTCGTGTAGGAGGCAACCAGTTGATGTGTCTCTCTCACATCAATATGTGTGTGTGTCTCTCTCTCTCCCTCCCACTCTATCTGAAAATAAATGGAAAAATATCCTCAGGTGAAGATTTTTAAAAAAAATTAACATTTGATTATGAATGAGCAACTGGAAGAAAATAAGAATTCTCAAAATAAGTAAAATTAGATAAAATGAAGAAAAATAAATAATGGTAATGTTTTGATATAAATAGTGGTTTTTTTTTTCCTTGAATATGTACACAGTTTTTAGTGTACTTGCATAGTAGGTTTTGTCACTTTTATTTATTCATTTTTTAATATATAATGAATATTTTATTTATTATCAACTATTCTTCTATTTCATTTTTAGTAGCTTTATAGCATTTATTGTAGGGTAGGTCCTAAATGACTTCTCTTATCCTCCATTGTTAAGCATATAGGTTGCTTCCATTCCGTTCAGTTATAAACAACACAGTGGTAAGCATCCTTGTGTTTTAATCTATCAGCATTTAGTTCCTTAGAACACATTTTAGAAGTAGACTTGCTCAACAATGTATATGTGAAGTGAATTTGCCATTTGTGTCTTTTTAAAATAAATTATTTCATTTATTTTGAATAAAGTATACTCAAAAAAGTTTTGAGGAATGTAAAATTAAATCATGGCCATCTTTTCTATAGAAGAGTCCAATGAAGTTGTTCCTAATGAGACAACTGCTGATAAGGAGGAGGACCACCATGCAGTATCCGAAGATAATGTGGTATGTACATTTTGACATTCTTTCCTCATTACATGATGGATTTCAAGGATATGCTTCCAGTTGGTGACAATATCAGTGTTGTCAGAATAAAGTCTTGATTCACTTCAAAACTAAAACAGAACTGTCACCATTGAATTATATATCTTTGACAGTTTAATAAATGAAATTTAAAGCACTGTCAATTTAATCTCAGGTTTTTCGGTTTAAGAGATTAGCAAATATAAAAATCTAATGCTTACTACACATAGGACATTTTATACATAACAAGTTATTTTCTTCAACACATTTAACAAAGAGCAGATTTCTTCTCATTTCACAGATGGCAAAATTAGAACAGAGCTTAGCCTGAAATTATGAAGGAAACTTTTGTTCTAGGACTTGTATCTAAGGATTCCTTACTCCAAGCTCTCTGTTCAGACCATACCTATCTTATATACTGTGTTTGGAACCCTTTCTTTTTTTTTTCCATTTAATTGAACTCTGTTACTTATCTTAAAAATTGAAACATTGGAATAAAGACAGTATTAAGTAATAGAATAGCAGGTGGAGACAGGCTATGTGTGGATTAAACTGAGTTTTGTAAAAATATAAACATTATTGGTATGTGGAGATGTCCTGTAAGCAGCTGTTTTGGCAGCATCTGTTTATATTCTGACTATCAAATAATACATATATTGAAATAGTATTCAAGTCATATATAAAAGCAGATGTCATTGTGCTTTGTTTTTGCTTTTGAATCAATGTTTTGTGCTTAATTGCAACTTTTTAAAAAATGGGCCCTATGGGGCATTCTCAGAGCAAGGGGCCTTAAGAAATGGCTCTTCAGTACACTACACACCAGACAGGAATTTGGGGTCATTGTGACAACGGACACAAAACTTGTGGCCTTCCTATGAACAAACACCCTCCGTGTGAAGAAAGAAAAAAAAAAAGGCCCCTCCAATGGATTTTTCTGTTACAAAATAGCTGTAACTCAAGATTTGCCCTAGCTTTCATTACAAATATTGTTTATCAGACACTATAATCCTGCCCCATCTCCTTAATAAAAGTTAAACACATAAAATAGTTTTGTTCTTTTTTATTAAACATCAACACTATATAAGTGTTTTGTACATGCACAATATTGTTTAGGATTGCATTTTATTGATTTTAGTCCTGATTTAAGTTGAAGTTTGACCCTTCAAACATTACATTCAATGGGCACATAGGAAAACAAGCTTTTATTTTGAGGCAAAGTCATGTTTTCATTATATAGCTGGTAATGAGTGTTTTCCACTATTATAATTGTGCTAGTATTCTTAAATAACACCAAGTAATATCCTCTGCTCTAGATTTGAGTTACATTAAACTAATTATATTGCTTACAAATTGGAACCTCTTTTCCCCTAAAGACATGCTCATTTTAGCCTGAATTTCTCTACACTGGATCTCCCCTGCAGCAGACATTTGAAGATAATGAAAGAAGTCACGGCATAGGATGACTCACAGTCACTTAGGCAGTTAATTTTTCAAGAACAATTGATTTTCAGAGACAAAAGTCCAAACTTTCAAAGGTTGAGCTTCTCTGCCTATAACTTTTGAATGCCCCCAATTATTCACGGATAACACATCACAAAGACATGTAAGACCCATTTATATGCACAAATCTATACAGTGGCCTTTGGTGCCTTCCTTCCTAGATTACTTAGCTATTTTATCCCAGAAACAATCAAAATATATTGAGAATCTAAAAAATAACATCAAAAAAGTATCAAATCTGAGGTCTGGTGAGAGTTGACATGATTAAGCCCTAATTTTATAGTGATTATAATTGAAAACAAAACATTAGATTCATCTCTAGGCAGCTGTCCTCCTGACTCAGAAGCCTGCAGGTCAAAAACCCTGTTATGGTATTGTATTCTCATAGAGAATATATCAAATATGATCATTTCAAGATTGTTTGTGACTTTTAATCAGCATATATATTGCTGGGTAGGAAGCTTAATTTCAAATTCTGCCTATGACATTTTGCTATTAATGTGCTCATTCTTACAGGACTGCTTAGTGAGTAAATTAGCTTTCTCTTTTTTGAAATTTCTTTTGGGTTATCTGGCTTTAAATGTTTAAAATTGTTTTTCCTTAGTTGTACTTTTTGTGTACAAAAGTAAAAAATAGAGCTGATTTTATCTTTTGGTTTTGTGATAAAAAGTTTCCATGATTACAGAACTTGCTTTGCCCCTTTGGTTTGAGCATGTTGGTCATTCTTCTCATCAGTGCTAAGTTGTTTTGTTTATTCTTTTAACAGATATTTAATTATTTTGACAGATATGTTGACCTTCTGTGTACAAGATACTGTACAAACTATGCTGTACCTTAACTCTAAAGCTAAGGGCAGCTTAGCATCTCTCTCACTCTTCCTTCTTACTATCCAGCGAAGGAAACAAATAGCCATGCTATTTTGATCATTACGTCATACATGTCTGTTTTCAATTGTCTAGCTGATGGAGTGCAGTAAATAAGTGAATTAAAAATATATATTTGGCCCAGCTCGTGTGGCTCAGTGGTTGAGCGTCGACCCATGCACCAAGAGGTCACCAGTTCAATTCCTGGTCAGGGCACATGCCTAGGTTTTGGGACCAATCCCCAAGGGGGTCATGCAGGAGGTGGCCAATCGATGTTTCTGTCATTGATGTTTCCATCTGTCTCTCCCTCGCCCTTCCTCTGTCTCTCTAATATATCAATAAAGAAAAAAAATTAAATATATTTGACTGTTGAATGCATGTCTTATGTTGACATTTTACATTAGAAATTGCAAAGAGATATGTGGGACTTAAAAAAAAGAAAACCTTAAAACCAATTAGGTATGGTTACCATTATACACGCTACCCTTATAGGAAACAAATTCCCTGTCCCTAGAGAACACTAAGCAGAATTTGAATGCCTATTTTTTCAGGAATATTGTGAAGCCCCCCCCCCATTTTAAATAGTATAACAGTAATTTTATTTATTTTTTAAAAATGTATGTTATTGATTTTAGAGACAGCAAGAGATAAAAACATCAATGATAAAAACATCCATCGGCTGCCTCCTCACACCTCCTGCTGGGGATCAAACCCATAACCCCGGCACAATGCCCGAACTGGGACCTCTTGGTACACAGGAGGATGCTCAACCAACTGAGCCACACTGACTGGGGAGTAATTTTTTTAAACTTTCATTTTATTTATTTATTGTTGACGCTATTGTAGATGTTCCCCATTTCCCCCCCTTCAGTAATTTTCTGTTTACTAAATAGTAATCAATTAAAGGTAGAAGGAGGTGGCTTAGACACACACTGGGTGTAACACTGAGGAACCAGTCAGTTATCAGAGTTTATTCAGGATATCCAAGGCTAGATAATCCCATAACTAAAGCTGAACATTTAATGTAAATGCTCTACACATTGTTGTTGAATGTAGTGATGATGATAAAATCTATATTTATGGAAACTTCTCTACCTATATTACAGAAAATAGAAATTATTGACGATGAAGAAAGTGACATGATAAGTAATTCTGAAGTGGAACAAGCAAATTCTTTCTTGGATTATAAGGTAAAAGTAATTTCAAATTGTGACTTCATTAAGAGAAGTTATTAAATGAGGCAGACTTTTACAGTACTCGTGTACTGGTTTATTTCACTCCCATTTGATAAGTTAAACATCCTGAGACTTTGCATTGACTCTCTCTGACAACTTAGATATTAGTCAGGGTGCTGGTCATTTTAATTAACATTGGCTGGTTTGGTGTTATAGTTATAAACACAGGGTTTGCTCAGTAGGAGTAGGTATTGATGGTATACAAGGTGATGCAGTGCATATTGGTGGTTAATGTGAAATTTATGGCAATGCTTTTTTAAACCCAATGTTCATTTTTAAATGGTGGTAAAGGGGATGTTTTTCCAGATTTTTCCTTTGCAAACTTTATCTTCAATTATAACTTCTGCAGACCAATTTTTTAAAAAATATAATAGTATATCTGTTTTAGGAGAAGATTAAAAGTGATCCCCAATGCATATACCAAATTAATATGAATAGAAATGACCTTTTCTTAATGTCACTTGTTGCTAAAATGAAAGGCTTATTTTGACAACATGCCATACACAATTTTGTTTTTATTAAATTTTGACATAAGCTATCAGCCCATATGTTAATGTATTTTATGTATATATGTATAATTGCTTTCCCGTTGTTAATTAGTATCTTATCTTACAAGTTAACTTTGGGGTCTTCTGCAGTTTGGGTCACACAATCATTCTTTCCATACACAAAATTCTTTTCTTGAAATATCATAAGAGTTCAAAGCAGAGACTAGTACTTAGATATTAACAGAAAATAACATAACCTCTAATTAGAAAAACACAACAGCTGTCCTTTTCTCAAAAAATGTTTCACTTTTACTATAATTCAAAGTTATGTCATTCAACAGATTCTGCTTTCCGAATGTTCATAACATGTCAGATTTAAAAATATTAAACAGTGTAAACACAGAAGGAAATTATCTTTTGAAATAGATTTTCTAAGTGGTCAAAGAGCACAATACAATTCTGTATTTAAAATCTATTTTCAACTAACAAAATTAAAAAGTTGTTGGTTATGGAGTACTAGAAAGCATTCTAATCTCTCCTACATGATCACATATTGCTAAATGCCCAGTTCAGGATTAAAATGTCTCTGCAAGGCACTGCTTGGCACAGTCTATGGAAACTACAGACAAGAGGACTGGATTGCACAGCTGTTAAGTGTGCTCCGCTTAGCACTCTTAAGCAGTTCAGACAGGGTTGTGCCCACAACTCCGAGGATTCTTTCTAGGACTTTTCCCCTCTGGTATTCCAGCACACTTAAGAAGTTTTGGAGCTAAAGGCCATGGGAGGGCAGAGTGTCCAGTCCAGAAATCTTAATTAATATTTTCATTGAACTCTAAAGGGCATTTAACGATCCATGTGGTAAATGCTGTGGGAACAAGGGGTCCTTCACTACCTTATTAAGGATGTCTTTTATAATGTATCACCAGCCAATATAAACTTCTTTTTTTTTTGGTTTATCTTTAATTCGCAAACATCAGCACCTATATAGAAATATATATTTTTATAATCAATATTCAAATATTTGAATTCACTTCATCTGTGAATTTTGTTACCTTAAAGTAAGGGTAAGCGAAATCTCATATGACAGTTCTCATTGATGATTTCAGGATGTTGATTTAAAACATCCTTATCAGTTTCGAAATTTAATCTTTCTTCAGAGAACATTTGTACTTTATTTGCATACACGTTAGTACTTCTCGTTTTGGGATCAAAATCACTTTGCAAGTTTCTTAAGTATATTTATCGTAAGCTTCTTGAAGGCAGAGACTTATTTAGCTATGTGTTATCTGGTCTAGGGCTTAGCACATAGGGGTCTAGTAACTAATTCCTGAGTGAGTGAATACACTAAAGTATACTTGGAAATATTTTTTATTATTATGCAAATACTCATTTTTATGAAATCCATTAAGACAAGAAGCTGGATCATGATAACTTTTTCCTACACTAAATTAAACAGTCTCCCATTATTCTTGGGATTCATTGTAGCAAAATGAAAGAATAGTTCTGATGTGCATTTGATATTGTTACTGTGCAACTACCAGTGCTCAGTTTCGGCTTACTGGAGTTTCTGATTGAGATATAGTCCTAAAATCCATATTATTATGAGTTCTAACTTACCTACAATGCTTATGAGACAAGTTGGTGATCTCAGTCCCTGAGGCATGAGTACTGTATCATAAAACAAAACCTGGAATGTTCCCTACAATTATCTTGGAGAAGAATTGACAAAGTGGAATGTAGGGAAGATTTTAACAAGAAAAATGAGCTAGATCTTGTTTTCTGAAAGTCACTGGCTGATGTTACCTTACC